GGGAGGGGGGCTCTCCCTCCAAGCAATAGCCACTTCCCTGTCCTCCACACCAGAACGGTTTAACGGTAATTACTTTGAACCTTATGCGGAAATTTCCTTCGGGTTGCGACCAATTCGGGGTGCGGGTCACGGAACGAATTAAGTTCGTAAACCGAGGTTCCACTGTACCTGGTCTAAAGACCGTGATGTTTGATGGATGATTAGCCAACAATAACAATGGAAAAACTAAAATACAAGACAAAAACGGAACACAACAATTTAATTGAAATGAAGAGTTCCATCTCAAGCGGTTTTTGAAATGCTAAGAGGGAGGATGGGAGTCCTAATTCCAAGAGAAGGCTATTCCATAAGGCCGGACCAGCTCCTGGCCTCCTTTCCTCTTTCCTCATGAAAGTGGGGTAATGCAAGAGGGGTATTTACCCCCACATCCTTTTGTGTCTGATGTAAAGGTTATAAATAACGTGAAGATGCATAGAGGTGACATCACAGGGTAAGTGTGCATCCCAAATGGAAGGTTTATGGCAAAGCCCCTCTTGGGCTGAATTCGGGCTGTTTGCTGCACTAGCATGTGTACTTCTGAATAATTCACTTGCACACACGCACACACACACACACACACCCCTCCTTCCCTTCTGGCTCCTTCTGTAGTTTTGTATTAAATATCTAAACTGGAATTATAAATCATGCTAAGCCATGATTATTTTAATTATGGTTTGCTGATTAAGTCATAATGAGCTGGTTCGCACATAATAATAATCATAATCTCAGCCCAAACCACACCTGGGTTTGCTTAGTGAACCCAGCTTCAGCCTGCTAAACAAATTATGCAAACGAAATCAAATTTTGCTGAAATAGGTTTTATCATTTTCATCCGTCCTTATTATGATCTCAGTTACTGATCATATAGTTTGAATATTCACCATGCAGAATGAGCCATTCTTCAAGCTGGAACACCCAAGCGAGTGTAAATGCTGCAGGAATTAGGACCGGCACCCCAGGCATCTTCACAAAAGGCCTACAACAACCCGACCTTCTTGCCCCTTGCAGTTGCTGCCAGTAAACCTGACTCTTCAAGAAAGCAGAGACCCCTCCCCTCTCATTTGGGGCAGTGATGTGGGTCAAGATCAAAACAAGAGGGTGAGTTTATGGTTACGGGGGTCAGAAGGAGGGGCTATGCAAGGACACCCCTCTTGAGGAAGTATCTTGCCTAAAGAACCTTTGAGAACCTGGTGCTCAAACTCTATG